GGGGGGGGGGGGGGGGGGTAGTGGGATGCGTTCATAATAAATAAGTACAGTGTATAAGTTTACATAAATATGTCATCCAAAAACATATTGTGACCATAATAGACGTTTAAAACTAAAATACTGATTAAATGCGCGAAAGTTATTATGTAAAGTTAAAATTTGATCGTTTTAAACCCCACTTTGGTGACGCTCTGAGGTGAGGAGTTTGAATTTTCCGACGGTCATGAAGGGGTCATTCCGCTCCTCGCGCAGGAGCAATTCTCTGCATCAAACAGGCTTCATTCAGTGTGTGGCTGCTGCTCAGAGAACAACAGGCTACCTCTCAGTCAGAGGCAGTCAGCCCGGCTGTAAGTGTCTCTGCATCTTTTCTGACTTGTGTCACGTCGCAAATATCTTTGGTTCTTGTTGACGTCGCTTTATTGTCTCCGAAAATAATTGGAAACAGTGTCGCGTTGCGTTTAATTGCAAAGTTATTTGTCTGAGAGCATCGTGGTCTTTTGTTCTTATTTTTTTTTTTTCATTTTATCGGTTTAACAAAAATGGATTAATTTCGTGGCGACTCCTAAATAGCGACACGGTTGTCTGATTTTTTTTTAATTTTTTCTGTAGATTTTTTTTAAATTTTATTTGTTGTGGTTTACTGCTAAAGCGGCAGCCGTTGTTCCTTTGTTGACAGGATGAGTGTCTCAGACTAAAACAATGAGTGTTTCATTTTTATTTTATGTCCACATTGGAAGCAGCTATTTATGATTTTTGTTCATGTTTTTCTGTCCATTTTCCATTTTCCAGGATGCTTCACATCTGTGGGACAAAAGGAAACTTAAAAAGCTTTGAAGCAAGGTTGCAATCAAACAAAGAGCCATAAGACCAACGTGTGACATCACTTTTTCTTATTTATAACCAGGGTAGTTTATAGCAAATACAACAAAATACGCCACAGAAAAACTCAAGTATTTAAAGCAAGTGATTTTTGATAGTCATTGAAGTCAGTACATCTGTTAAAGGATGTCTGGAGCCCAAAGTTTTGTTTTGTGAGGTGCTCTTATTGATTGAGCATCTTTATAAGAGAAATGTGGAGTGAACCACAGAACAGCGGAGTTCAGTCTGCCTCAGTCCTGCTGACCTGGCAGTCTTTCCTCCGCCTCCCAGCGCTGCAGAAGCTCCACGGTGTCTCCAGGTGCACCGGTTACTGACGGACTTGTCAGCCCTCCCGACAGCCACCGGGCTAAAACTCCACCGTGACCATGACTTCATCAGACAACGAAGAAACCGGGAGCGATCTGTCGGAGTCCGTGAAGATCCAGGAGATTCAAGACCAGTACACGGACACAGAGAACTGCTTCAAGTCCAAGAGTTTACCCATCCTGCTAAGACCTCGTCAGCAGGACGGCAGGACTGCCGAGCCTCAGCTGGTCAGCGTCACAGGAATATGTGTGGCTATGGAGGAGAGCAGAGTTCTCCAGCTGAAAACCCCAGACTCCAGCCAGGCTGAGTCCCCCTCCTCCTGGACGGACTTGTCCCCTTCCATCTCCAGCATGGTGGGGCTCAGCAGGTCCATGCCAGTCGAAGGCCACAGGTCTGCGGGCTCCAGAGGCAAAACACTTGGTTTCTCGTTTACCCGCTTCATCCACATCCCAGCGAGGAAGTATGCGCGGGTCATACTGAGAGATTCACGTTGCTTCTTGTTCTGCATGTGCTACCTAACCTTCATCCAGTCCCTGATGGTGTCGGGTTACCTGAGCAGTGTCATCACAACCATCGAGAAGCGCTACAGCCTGCGCAGCTCCGAGTCAGGCTTGCTGGTCAGCTGCTTCGACATCGGCAGCCTGCTGGTGGTGGTCTTCATCTCCTACTTTGGCGGCAGGGGTCAGAGGCCGCGCTGGCTGGCCGTGGGCGGCGTCTTGATCGCCGTGGGAGCGGCGCTGTTTTCCCTGCCGCACTTCATCTCGCCGCCGTACCAGATCCAAGAGGTGAACTCCTCGGCGGGCCACGAAGGCCTCTGTCAGAGCGAGAACAGCAGCGGGCGAGAGCTGCTCGACATGGCGTCGTGCCCCCGCGACCAGGAGGGCAATGAGCACAACCTGTACGTGGCGCTGTTCATTTGTGCCCAGATACTCGTGGGCATGGGTTCTACGCCAATCTACACCCTGGGGCCCACCTACCTGGACGACAATGTGAAGAAAGAGAACGCATCTCTCTATCTAGGTAAGCCAACTATGGATTCATCCCATGTAAAATTGCTATAGTCAGAAAATAAATTCATAAWTCCACCCATTTTTTAATACGTTATTTATGAGCAACATTTTCAGAAAAAGGAACTAAATAAAAAACATAAAACAAATTAAATAATTTACAGAGTTCTAACGTCTTGAATTTATTGGTAACATAGCTGAAAGCACCCACTTTTGATGTTATCATCCATTAAATGGACGTTATTAGCCATTATCTGTCCCATAGAATGGCTTCAGACTGTCAGCTGGTTTTTATGAGGCGTAAAGCCACTAAGGTTTTTTAATGCAATCTGGTTAATATGAGGCATAAAACCATTAAGTTTTTTATGCAATCTGGTTAATATGAGGCATAAAGCCACTAAGGTTAATTTTAGAGAAAATGACCTGGGCTACGATAAAGTAGACCGGACTCCGGCGGTGGCAGATTGTTGCATTCCAACGTATATGGCACTGGTAACCCACTAGGGGGCACTGTCGGGACAGTCTGAAGCCATTCTATGTGACTGAAAACCRCTAATAACGACCCTTTAATGGACTGATAACATCCAAACAGGCTGCTAAAAGGGAGTTGGTGGTGCCATGGTATCATAAGCCTGAGGTTGCAGGTTTGAGCCCAGATTGCGTCAGGGCATCCATCGTAAAACCATTGCCAAAAGCGAGTTTGCTCGACGTCGCGACCTCTGCAGAAAGAGCAGTCGAAAGAAAAAGAGGAATGTAAAGTAGCTCAAATGAAATATATTTACTCAATCGTGCTTTTCTGCGCTAATAACGCTGTTTTTTAAAGCATAGACATCTTTACTCACCCTAACTCACAGGGCTCCACAAAACAGATTTTATTTTTCATTATAAAGTGGATTGGATTGTTTTATTTCATAGTGGCATGATCATGCTTGTGCTCAGAGAGTTCATCCTCTGTATTTTTGGTTTAATCTCCATGGCATGCAACCTTTACGCCACGCAGAGGTGAATACGCACCRCTAAGTCAACCCCAGACCAGAGGCACACGTGAGACGGGACAGGGAATGTAGAGAGGAGCAAAACTGGGTTGCTTATGATTAATATGGCAGCACGTGTGTTTTTGTGTGTATTATACCACAGTGTTGGTAGGTTGGCACACAGAGGGTGGACAGCCTTGATGAAACTCACACTAACGTCTAACCAGGACTGACAGGTCTCTTGTGATTTAAGTGTTAGCAGGTTGTTATCTCTTTGTTTTTATATGCTACGCTGGAACATTACAGTGCGTTCAGATTGTTTGGCTGCACACCGTCTACTCCTAACAGCTTACGAAGAAAATTGTGATTACAGAATTAACCTTTCTGTGAGTCCGTCTGGGTTTTGCTGTTGGATTACTCGGACACGGGGCACCCTGCAGTCTGCATCCACACAGATGGCTGCTGGTTGAATAACCTTTGTGTCAGACTGCAACTTTTATTGCTGTCATTTAATCTATTCTGTATGTTTTCAAGTTCTGCACCGATTATTTAAAATAATCAATTACATTGATTACTAAAATTAGTTGACATTGCATTATTTACCCACATAAATGTTCATTTGTACATTTGAGGCTAAAAAAAGAAGACTTCATTTTCAAAAGTTGGCTATGTTTAACTGAAAGTAAACCAAAGAAAGTAAAAATCAGACTCGGTTATTTCATGGCAGGACAGTCGCAGTGAAAACGTTACGATCTTCTGAAACATTAGCATGCTTGAGCCGTGATTACATCCTCTGCACATGGGTAAGTTTTAGAAAGTTAGCTACTTCGTCAGGTTCATGCTTCATAGATCTTATTTTCAGTGACTGATCACTTCATGGYAAAGTCAACTATTTATAATTTGTGTTTACTATCAGAAAACAGTGTATCTTGAAAGCAGAACTATCAGTTATGCTAACATTAACTAAAGCATTAAGTGCTTCATATTAAATCACTGAATTATAGTAATTGTTTTGTTTTTTTTACTTTTGATCTGCCAGATACAGCAAGATTTTAACCAGGATAGATTATTATTATTTTTTTTACTTTTATGCACTTGAATGCCATTTTAAACAAAGTTGTTCTTTAATTTATTTTGGACTTGCAGCAGGGTAGGTTAACAGCCCCTCATGCTGGGGGAGAGCCTGCTGTTTTGAGTTATTTGTACATTAGCTGTTTGTTCAAAAAAAAAGACTAGTATTTAATTTGTATTAAATTTCATTTTTCTTGTGATCACATGTATTTATGTTAGAAATACATGTGATTAAGCTTACATTATGGGTCATTATTTAAATTTGTAATGGGAACTTGAAAGACTGGATAATGGGGACATTCTCATGTGTGAGCAGGTGAGGTGAGATTGTACTACAGCTGGGAAAAGAAGTGCACACAAAGGAAGCATAGATGGACATTGTGACAGAAATAATCGTAGACTAATCAGCTAATAGATTAATAAAAAATAATGGATGGATTATTTGACTATCAAAATAATCATTAGGTGCAGTCCAATATTTTTGTTAAAACAAAAACATCAGTGAAGAGGTGATTAATGTCAACATTTTAACAAGACATTTTAAGACTATTAATATTACTTGGGTATTTTTGTTCTAGTTTTTGAAGATGCAGCCTTTTTTGTGCATCTAATTAACTGTTTTTCCTTTTTAAAGCTTGTTTATATTTGCGTGAAGAGTACTGTGTGAACTCTGTTGGACTGAAAACATTAAAATGGTGGCTCAGCATTAACATCAGTGTTGCTACCGCCGCCTCATTTCAGTGTTGCATACCCCCATGGAGCCATTGAGACCCAGTATTGATCAGATCCCTGCGTCACAGGGAGCCAATGCAGCACTACACTCGAATCTACCACAAAAACAACAAGGAAAGATCCTCGGGCACGTTTCTTTATCGGCTCTCACCTCGGTAAGGTGCTCCAGAGGAAGTGCGTCGACAGCTGAAAGGCTCATTGAGCCGTCACAGTCGAGACAACCCCTTGTTCAGATTTCCACTTGCTCCAATGACCTTGATGGTCACTTCAAATGATGGGAAGGAGAGATTGTCTCTTTCCTTCCCATGAAGCAGCGTTTGGGTTAACAACCCGTTCTCATGTGGTGGAAATAGCAGATGTGTCAAGAGAAAAAACCATCCTTGATTTGTGTTTCAGATACTCAGATTACCATGGGAACTAGATGGCAGTTAAAATATGCAGATTCAAGTATAAACTTTTCGAGTCATGGATGACTTTTTGTTTGAATGAACCCACATTTCATGTAATAACTATTCAAATTTATTTCAGTGTTTTTCCAAATTATTTGAACATATAGGTGACTCATATTCATAGATTTTCCCCTCAAGTCTTCCTCAGTGCGTCTAGTTGAAACCTTTTTTATTTTTTTCACCTTGCAGTGGGTCAGAGGCAAGGATGTGCCTGCCTTTGTAGGACAATGCGGTTTACGTTGAGGGGTACTTCTTGCGTCCTTGGAAAAACACAAAGCACGCGCTTGCTCAGGTATCAGGATGTTGTGGCGTACGCACAGTTCTTTCTCAGTGTTTCCCAGCACCAAACTCACATCTGTGATCAGGTTTGACAAAACATCTGTACTCAATTCAAGTTTGCTATTGACCAATACATTTAGGACCGGTTCTACCACGTTTAATGCTTTCCTTTTTACTCTGATAGTTTTCAACATCCCTTTCTTTGTTGCTGTGGTAAACATTTGCATCTGTGTAGCAAATTTATATAGTCTAAAATAGGGTTTGGCGACATTGGCAAAAAAATCACAAGTATTTGTGGTATTTAACCGATAACAGTTAATATGATGATTAATCCCCTGGAGTCCCAGGAAACCTGCATGCCCTTGTCATATGACCAATTTAAATCACTCTASTGGGAAAGATTTGCGCTCTGTAAAAATCTGTTCCAAATTATGTCAAAAGTACAGACTTCAGGCTATAAATAATTTTTTTAATAGTGATAGGCCAACTAAAACCGGAGTTATGATAAATTAATTGCCAATTTTTAAATTTTTTTTTTTAATGTTCATCATTTGAAGTGGAGAGGAGCACCGAGCAGACTGACTGGGGAAATCTCCAGTCAGTCTGCCTGGTAACATTAATTGTATTAATTGTCAAGTGCCAAAAAAAATGTTGCTTAACGTTTTTCTGACGATTAATTGCACACAATACAATTTTTTTAAACAAATATATTTATTTCATTTAAAAACAAAACAAATACATACAACAAATATTAATACAACAAATAAAGTGAAAGGTAGCAGAAAGAAGAAAAAAATTCTTATTGATATCTGCCCCCTTTTTAAATAAATAAATTGAAACCATAATAGCCTTCAAACAACAAAACATAACAAAAACTTCAACTCCTTCTCGAACAACGGTTCTTATAAATGCACACTGTACAAATTCATATCTCCTCAACAATCTAACTTTCACCATTCTCTTAAACAAATTTATTGAGCCAGCATTTTTATAATCACTTTCCAGATTGTTCCACAATCTTATTCTTAGGACCGAAGTACATCTGTCCTTCAAATTTGTTCGAATTTTGGGCTTTACAAACACCTCTATACCCATAAGGTTATAATTACTTACTCTCATAACAAAATTTAATTGCATATTTAGAGGTAATAAATTTTTTATGAGCTTTATACATAACCTGCAAAATATTATGATAAACCAACTCATAAAATTTCAATAATTTCAAATGAGAAAATAATATATTTGATGGGTGACTGTAATTTCTTCTGGTGATAATTCTTATGGCTCTTTTCTGTAAAATAAAAATGGGATTTTTGCCCAACCTTAATGTAAAGGGTAAATTAATTAAGTTTGTACATCTGAGTAATGAAGATGAACTACAAACAAATTTAATTTGAATCACTTTTTCATTTGTTTGTGCTTCTTAATATATTAATTTCTGTTTTAACATCAACAGCTATCAGATCTAAACAATTATTATGTTTCCTTCCAGTTTTTTGACACAGTGC